TTTGTAAAATTTTGTTACCTTTTTGGGCTTTTATTATGTAAATAAAATCTGTATAATAGTAGTTAATAGATTATTAATTGTGATGGTCTACTTTAATAGTATAAAATAATGTTCACTTACCCTCAATGTGCCCACCGCTTATGTGGCATGTACACATTGCTGATATTTTTTTTTTGAAGATATTAACATCATGTGCATGACAAATAAGCGGTGAACATATTAACATACCCTATATTGTAGGGTGAGCATTATCTCTCTAATATACTAGTGTACATTTATTATTGAATTATCCAAATCTTGAGCTGTGTGAATGTGATAAGAGTTTTCACTCTGTATTGGTGTTGTGACAACAGTGTGGTTGGGTCGGAAAATGAAAGGCAGGAAGGGTCATGACTCATGTACCTTGTTTTTTTTTTTTATAAAGTAGTAAATTAAGGAAATACATCGTGCCTAATACTGAGCCCGTTGTTGGAATGTGAATTATTATTATACTAGTGTGTGGCACGTGCGATGCACGAGAAAATAATATTTACGATCATGATATAAATTAAATATACAAATAAATTAGTCACAATTTACACATTGTTTTTAATTAAACCATGTCTGACACAGTCCGACTGGATGGACCGAGAATCGGTTTATAACCAGTATAGTTTGCTTGAATAAAATATTTACTATTGAATCCGTCAACAACGGTCGGTTGAACTGGTAGGATCGATACAATTTTATAAATAAATTTTGCTACAATTAAAATAATTTTAAATAAAATTACATATTTAAATAAAATAGAGGTTAATGAATTGTTTATCAATTAGTTTAAATATTTATTTTTTTAAATTGTTTAGATATTTAAGTAACACATTTTATTTGAATTTATTACAAAAAGTACTATATATATATAATAATAAAGCATATTTTCAAAGAAAATAAATAAATTGATTGATTTTTATAAATTAAATTATATGATTTTAAAGAAAAATATGAAAATATTAAAACTACTATTTATGAGCTGCATTAAACGCTGACTTATTTTTTTGCTACTATTTTTTGTAAATAGGTTCTCTTTTTATATATATACTAGTGTGTGGTCCGTACGATGCACGTGAAAACAATATTACGATTGTTTTATAAATTAAATATACAAATAAATTAATCATGATTTATCCATTATTTTTAAATTAAACCATGTTGGACACAGTCCGACCGGATGGACCGAGAACCGATTTATAATTAATCTAGTTCACTTGAATAAAATATTTTCTATTGAATCTGTCAACACCAGTCGGTTGAATTGGTAGGATCAATACGATTTTCTGAATAATTTTGGCTATATTTAAAATTATTTTAAATAAAATTACATATTTAAATAAAATAGAGATTTATATATTGTTTATCAATTAACTTAAGCATTTGAATTTTTAAATTGTTTAGATATTTAAGTAACAAATTTTATTAAAATTTATTACAGAAAGTACTATATATATATTAAAGTGTATTTAAAAAAAATTAATTTGTATGATTTTTATAAATTAAATTGTATGATTAAATTGTATGATTATATTAAAGCGTATTTATAAATTAAAGTGTATGATTTTTAAATAAAAAATAATAAAACTACTATTTATGGGTTGCATTAAATGTTGACCTATTTTTCTGCTACTAATTTTAGTAAATATGATGACTTTTTATATAAGTATAGATGTATGCAACATTTTTGTATGTGGAATGGATATAAATATGGAATAGTGATTAAAATAAGCGAATTGTATCATTTTGAAAAAAGTAAAAATATATTATTTATCCCAATTTGACTTTTTGTAAGCAAAAACAGTTTGGGTGGGGTGGGGTGTCATTTTTTAGTTGTTGTTTGTTCAAATTGGGTCTTACCCTGCAAATATCTTTTGTTTGTTTTAAGAGGGCCCGTACGTGGAGAGTAGACCTGAGAGTCCATCAAGGATTGGGCTAAGATTTATGAAAGCTATTATTGAAGCCCACAATAATGTTGAAACTAACTATATATAATGTACATATTCACATCATTCAATTTGAGCTTGAAGTTGCACATTTTATGATTTCATTTTCAACTCCAAAAAGCCGACTCCCGTCCTCGGCTGAAATTCCTATGGCCGACCCTTCAATGACCGCGCCTCTTCGATCGAGCGGCCACCGTCTGGTCGACCATCCACCTTTTGAATAGTTGTACCAGATAGCCACCGAGTCTGTCGCTACTGATGTAGGGAAGCATACGAGTGAGAAAGATAAACGAGTAAACGAGATACTCTCTCGTAAAACACGCAAAACTCACAATATCTAATCTTATTTCATTTCAATAATCAACTCCCTAAAGTAAACTAAAGGGGTCCTTTATATAAGGTCCGTAATCCTAAACCTAACTTAATCACTAAGAAAGCTACTAAATATTTAAATACTTAAATGATAATAATAGCAATATTAATAATACTAATACTATTCTACACCACTCACCGTGCAAACATTGGATATTCAGTTTGGGAGATCGACGTTGCCCCGTCGAAGCGCGTCCACCGGCCTCGTCAGCCCACACCTGTTTTCAGCCGGGATGATGACTGCTATTGAGAATTGGGGGGAGGGGGGGTGGAATTTAGCCATTAATTGTAGTATTATTAACTCTCATAGATAAAGACAGTGGGAAAAAAGAAAAAAAAGAAAAAGAGACGACTTGGAAAGGATGAAGGAGATAGAGAACCGAAAAAAGAGGTAGGAATCCGGGAAGGATAACCCACGGACAATAAAATCGGTAGTTAAAATTAAGCCCTAATTTAGCTTATCACAACAAGATATAGAAAAAAGAAACAATTAAATATTAGAAAAATTATACATGCGAATATTTTGTGCATATTCTTAAAATCTGCTGATAGAAACAAATCTTGGTAGATGTAAATATTTTGGAATCCATTTTTCGTACCTGGTATAATTTTCTCCAAAATGAGGATATTTTGTGTAAGAACCGATACATGGAGCTTCAGTGCAGTGCAGTGCAGCAGCCGATTTTACAAGAGATCAATGATCATAAGAAGTAAACTGTTGAAATGTTGCAAGTTTGCAGTTTGTGTTCATTTATCCATAAGTTTATGGCACCCTCCTCTATTCTTTGGGATTGATTTTTATTTTGTACTACTTTTGATGGTTTAACATATGAAAACTGGCTGCACATCCAGTGTTTCCTTTCCACCCTCAAACTACTCTCCCAACTTTTAAACCTTTTAGATCCAAATTAAAGTCTTTATTTTATTACAACTGAAAAAGCCAAGCAACGAAGAATACACAATTCAAACATTAAGATTTCAATAACTACATTAACATTTTCTTCACATGTCAGTATCAATCAATAACGACCATTGATCCCAAGAGCCTCCTTGATAACACGAACGAGACTGTAAGGTAACGAGAGCTGAGGAAAATGGCCACTCGTATTGAGAATCCGAACATCAGTCGAGCCCCCCAGCTTCCTCTTCATGTAAAAAGGCACCGTTATCGGCACAATAATATCCCGCTTGGATTGAATAATCGTGCTTCCCACACGAACAAAAGGCAAAAAATGCCTATTGTCCTTGAGGAAAACATTCATCGCCACATCTAACGAAACCCTGGGCTGCAACCTTAGTAAGCTACTCTCGAATTCTTCTAGTGCATTTGTGTCGTCAACACCAATTGCCTCGGGAGCAAAGTGTTCGACCCATTTGGTGTAATTTCTCCTTATGCTCTCGAACGTCTCGTCCAGTTGAGCTCGTGTGAAGCCTCCGTTGTACTTGGTGCCGTTCAGATACCTTACAGAATATATAAAAAAAAATTAAAATAAAGAATAGAAAAATTTGAAAAAGGATATGCATGTAGCGACGAACAAATGAAATTACCTGGGAGATCCGTTAAGCAAAACGAGATGGTGAAACAAATCGGGCCTTTTGGTAGCAGCTATACACCCGATCATAGCCGACATGGAGTGGCCTACGAATATGGTCTCCTTTAAGTTGAGCTCGTCGAGTAAGCAGGTTAAGTCGCGTGCGTACGAACTGAAACTCGAGTATTTCACGGGATTGTACAGACGAGTGGGACCCACAAATGCCAGATCATAGACCAAGACCTTGTAGTAGAGCGCGAGTGCAGGCAATATGTAGTGCCAAACACTCTGGTTTGTGCCGTACCCATGAGATAGGACCATTGTCTGACTCCCGTTTCCATA